ATGAATACATGTGTGTGCATACTTTGGTATCCTTTGTGAAAATATTTACCTCTGTTATTCTTATCCCTGATGTGTGTATTTCTACAATTGGATACTCCCAAATTTTTATGCTAAAGTGTCTGGTGTGCTGAAACATCCCTGAAAGATAAAATGTTTGGATCCTGTGATGAAGTTGGAAGCCAGGCTGAAAAGGAACAAAACAAAACAGTAAAGAACAACTGTTCTCTCTGAAAGCATTTTTATTGCCAGTTCCTAACTACAACAAAAAGCCTAAACCGCAACGAAAAATACGCGCGCTATTCACACTTCATCCGCTGTCTTGAACGAGTCCATACTCTGAGCATCCTCGTGGGCCTGGGTCGTGTTGTCCTGTCCTTCTAGGTCCTGATGAGGATCAGCACTCTGACTCCTCCTCATCCAGAGGCGCACCACCGGCCACAGCACACGCCACAGCATGCCGACCATCCCTGGTTGTCTCCACCTGGCCTGTAAACGCTGGAATACAAACATGCTCAGCAAAAAAGCAAGGAAAGCAAAACAAGGTTACAGAAAGAAGCTTACTGCTGAACTGTCTGTTGACTGGACGAATGGTAGCAGAACGTCTAGACAACTCAGCCATTTCCAATGCCTCCCCAAAAGAGAGATTGGTCAAGGCCGTGCCTGTTGACATTTCACTACCTGTCCTTTCAACATCAAAAGACCAACGCTTTTTACTGTTTAATTTTACAGCTCCTTTCTGATTTTATGCAGTTAGTGTCAAGCAGGAAGCAGAAGGGTTATACTAAATGCCTCAACCTTCCTAAGTTTTCGTTACACACCTTAGCCTGATTTCGGCAGCAAACCAATCCGGTTATTACTGCAACCAAGGAAGTAAAAGTTCCAGCACACCAAGCCAGGACCTTCAGAACATACCAGGGCACCACCGTTTGAGTCACTTTTCCATTCTTATCTACAGTGGTAATGTTCATCTGGGTGGCTTCTACTATGGAATCCAGCAAACCAGTCTCATGGCTCTCTAGGATGCCTAGGCCAGACCCAGAACCAGACCCAGAACCAAAGCCTATGATATCAGGAATCACTGAAGACACCGGATTTCTGACTACAGGAACAACTGTCTCCACTGGTGGAAGAATGCTTTTTCCCTTCCTGATGGGCTCTTTGGGTGCCTCATCCTCCTTGACCACTACCTCCTCAGGGGCCAGAACCGGAGCAGCCAGTTGTTGTTGAATTTCCTTTTGAACTTCATCCTGAATAATCTTCAGCACCCCTGCTCCTGTAGGAGTGCCCAGAACTGCTTGTTTGAAGCCCTCCTTAGTGGTCTGCACCTCATTCTCTAAAAAACCAAAATGGGATTAATATCTGCTGAGAAAGTTTTCAGAACTAAAATGTACTCACTTTTGAAGTCGAAAAAGCAGAAGTCCCATGGAAAGACTACTCTCTCCATACCCCTGGTCTTCCCCCTGCAGAATGTTGGTTCTGACAGCTTCACTTTCTGGAAGGAAAAAGAATCTGATGAATCACCTGATTTTAATTCACACTTTTTAGCTCTTACCTCCAGATGGTGATGCCTCACACAGTCCAAGTCCAACCTGTCTCCAAAGAAGTCCACTGCAAAGTTGAAGTTGGGAGCAGTCTCCCCAGCCTCACAGACGTCATCACAAACCAGTCTTCCAGCTACATCCGAACAGGGAGCAGCCTCCAACAGATGGCAGCCCCACAGAAACACAAAAACCTGAAATGTATATTTTTGTCAGTTTTTGTTGTTTAAGAAACCACAAAAAATACTTACAATGCAGTAGAAGTCCATTTTTGTTTTGACGAAGTCCGGAACGCGTTTCACAGATGTCGCCGACCGCGGTTTTCTCGTAACTTGCGCAGCGTCGTCGTAGCGTCGAGCCGTTTTCTTTTTCGTCGTCTCGCGGCGCTCCTCCCTCACTCGCTGGAAAAACCTGCAAAAATCGAAACTTTAAGTCACAGGAGAATTTTGCACTACTTCAGGAAAAATTTAGAACCTTCACAGGGTAAAAACACTCACTGAAAAAGAGATGTGGACTCCTCCAGAAAATCACTCAGAATGAGCTATATTAGCCCAGGTCACACATCAGGAAAACAAGTTGGAATAACTTGTCTGGAATTCTTGTTCCTGAGGATGTGGGGATTGACATTCCCCAGCATCCCTCTCATTTCCCCTTCCTGGAATCCTGTTTTGGCTGGATGACTGTCATATGGGAACCACATCAGGTATTGATGCCCAGACATGCCTCCTTACTTTTGATTGCCAGTGTAGCACTTCAGGTGCACTTCACAGGAAAAATTCCTTGGGAAGATTTTTTTTTGTGTATGACCTTTTTTGACTCACTTCTGAAAAGATGGAACTTTTCTTTTTATTTATCTGGGGAGAGTTTGTCATCATATATTATTTGAGTGTACCCTGACAAGCACAGGATACTGACTTAGTGTACATTCTTTGTGACTCGCTTATCCCGTTACCTCTCATTAGTTATACAGCATGTATTGCGGTCACGCGCATCCGGTTTACTTTTCCTCGCGCTGGTTCATGACTGGTCATTCCTCTCTGCATCATTGAATTGATAAAAGGATGCCCGAGCATACCTTCGGTATTCATTGTCTGTGGAGATCTTGTGGAGGTTGTTGCTGAACGAAATATATCTAACACTTTTTGGTAACCGAGAAGTCTTCTCACTCCGAAACCCGGTATACAGAGTTAAAGCTTCTCGACAAAATCATCCTAGTTGGATATTGAGCTAAGTTTAGAGTTTGATTGCGAAGAGACGTCAACGCGATTGACTATAGATTTAAGATTAGTTCCGACAACATAGGATAACAATCTCATGAAAAAATTGAGCTGTTTAAATTCACAAAAATTAAAAATAAATTTTATTATACATCAACTCCCAATTCATAATCAAAAATGGGCAAATTTTGAGCTTATTTTTTCCGAGTGTTTTCCGTCATTTCTGTACAGTATAGCAAAACTTGTGCTTGTTCTTGGAGTTCTGGGTTCATTGTCATGCCAGAAGGACAGATTTTGTGTGACCTTCTTCTGCACAGTTTATTCCTGTATTCGGACATTTGGAAACAAAATTAAAATACATTTTTGGGGGACATTTTTCCCAAATTTGAAATGAATAAGAGAACCAGTTCAACATTTTTCCTTTGAAGTCAATGGGAAAATGTGTTACATCCACATTTTGGGCTTGAACTGTATTGTGCCTTGGATGCTCTTGACAGCATGTTGTTTCAGTTCAGAAATGCATGTGGAAAAATAAAACAGTGTTGTTGCCTTGGGTGGCATCTACCCTTACAAAAAACAACTTTAATACAATAGACAAATTCATCGCATGTAGAGGATCACAATTTTTTTTTGTGTGCAGTAATTTTCTGAAGATATTTTGTTGATGCATGTCATTTGACTCACAGAAGATCTCTTAATTTTAATGTTACTATTATTTGTGTGAAAAGAAAATTGACAATGAATCAGATTTTCAAGTGGACTTCAATTGAGAGTTTTAACCAACGCAGTTTTTCAAGTAGGAATTTTAGTACAGTAACTGAAAATTGTGCGTTTTGTGCCGGGATTTTTTCTTTAATGAGCAATGTTTTTTTTTTTTTTTTTTTTTCAGGGCTTTACACTGATTATTGAGCCGTTCGAAGACAGAGCACCAACTGTGCCGAATCCAGTATTGCATTTCTATTGCATGGATGCGTCAATTGCGATTCGCCCCGTGTTTGAGCGGTTCCAGTCCGTCGTGATCACGTCTGGCACGCTTAGTCCGCTGGACATGTATCCAAAGATCCTCGACTTCCACCCGCTCATCATGACTTCATTCACCATGACTCTGGCCAGACCCTGCATCTTACCCATGATCGTTGGCAAGGGAAACGACCAAGTGGCCATTTCGTCGAAATTCGAGACCCGAGAAGACATCGCAGTCATACGGAACTACGGCAACCTGGTCGTGGACATTGTGTCTGTGGTGCCGGACGGCGTCGTGGTCTTTTTCACGAGCTACGTGTACATGGAGCAAGTGATTGCGTCGTGGTACGACCAGGGCATCGTGGACAAGCTGACGAAGCGGAAATTGTTGTTTATCGAGACGCAGGACAATGCGGAGACGTCGCTGGCCCTGCTCAACTACATCAAGGCCTGCGACATGGGCCGCGGGGCCCTGCTGCTGAGTGTGGCCCGCGGGAAGGTTTCGGAGGGTGTGGACTTTGATCATCACCTGGGAAGGGCTGTGCTGATGCTGGGCATTCCTTACGTGTACACGCAGAGTCGCATTCTCAAGGCGCGATTGGAGTACATGAGGGACCATCATCAGATCCGCGAGAATGATTTCCTCACGTTTGACGCGATGCGACACGCGGCGCAGTGCATTGGACGCGTGTTGAGAGGCAAGACGGACTACGGGATCATGATTTTGGCGGACAAGAGGTATTCGAGGAGTGATAAGCGGCAGAAGTTGCCGAGATGGATCCAGGAGCATTTGCGGGACGCCTGGTGCGACCTGTCCATTGAAGAGGCCGTGCAGATCTCCAAGAAGTGGCTCCGGCAGATGGCGCAGCCGTTTACGAGGGACGACCAATTGGGAGTGTCCTTGTTGACGCTGGAGCAGTTGAAGGGAGACGAGATGCAGCGGCTCGTGAGGGCCAGGGCCGTGCAACACTGATGCCTTATTTTTGTTCTCTTCTTTTTTTGTTTTTGTTAAACATGACAACAAAAACTGTGTCATCCAGTGAAAAGGCTACCTGAACTTTTTTTTCCTGGCTGTGTGATGTCTTGTTATTCCCCTCTTTGACAGAGGGGAGAAGAAAAAGGAAATCTTGAACCTCGAAGGATTTATCTGTTAGATGAGACGTATGCTGATTTAAAATGTCGAGTAGGTGTTGTCGATTAAAATACTGAGAGGAGAGAGGGAAAAAAGGAACAGTTATCCTGCTTTGTCTGTTGCAGTGAAAATTTGATCTAGTGTGAGTAGATGTCACTGGCGGTCAATCCGGAGGTGTGTCCGCTTATGCAATTTTGCTTTTGTGCGTTGAAACAGGGCTACATACAGTAGCATGCAGAAAATTTTAAAAATTACTTCGGTTGGATTTGTTTTTTGCGTCAATCAAAATCGAATTTAAATTAGTTACAGTATTTCGTTTTTCACTCATTTCGATGCACTTCTTGTAGGGTTTCGCAATAAATTCGTCAAGCATTGAAAAAATTATAATCGGACTTTCCTGCTGCTCAGTATTTTCTTGGACACCCTCTGTATAATCTACTTTCTGTGGGAAAAGTTGTGGAGAATTCCTGGAGGCCGTGATTTTCGATTCTGTGATGCGCTGAGCGAGGCGATTTTGTTGTTTATGTATTGCTTCCAATTTTGTATTTTATATTTTACCTAGACGAGCTCGAGCTTTTTCCTCATGTTTGAGTTTCTTCCGTTTGGTTCAAAATTTTCTTTTCCTTATTCGAATTTTGGCAGTCCAGAGGCTGAACATTTTTGTGATATTAATTTTCTAGTCATTTTTTTTTCTCTCTTCAGAAAGGTGAAATCAAAGTGATGGATACGTTTGATTTGGCAGTGATTTTGGCCGCAGTTCTTGGAATTGCACTGATTGTGATATCCTACTGGAGTTCAAAGAAAGATATCAAAGGTGAGACGAGGGATCAACTTTTGTGATGCATTTTTTCATTGTTGCAATGTGTTTGTAAGTGTAATAAGAGGATAATTCATTTTTCAATTTTCGCAGTCACTTGCAAACAATTATTGGAAAGAATGGATCATATTTTGTTTTTCGTGTGTGTCCCCGGCAAATTTTTGGGATGGATCTGAGTGCTGAGGCTCAAGAAAATATTAGAAAGATTTCCACATCATTTCAAAATCCAGTGCATTAGTGCATTTGTTTCGTTACAGCCGATCACTGTTGTAGTTTGTCGGGCCAGCATTTAAGAATAGAATAGGACTGCTTCCCTCAAATTAAACTCTGAAACTCATCTATTGTATTTTTATTTATTTTTTTTTCAGAAAAGAAACCGGTGGTGAGACAAGCTGGAGAAGCCCCAGTAGTTGCAAGAGCAGCGCCTGCAGCAGCAGCAGCAGCTGCAGCTGGAGCAGTTCCCAGAGGAGCTGCAGCACGGAATGCCAGGGCGAGGATGCGAATGGCTGAACAAAGGCGACAGCACAATGATCAAAGTGACGACGACCGTTGGGGCGGTGGCGGCGGCGGTGATTCCGGCGACTCTGGCAGCGACGGTGAAATCCCTCTCGAAGACCTGGTGAACGTGCCTGAGGGGAAAATCGGGGCCAAGAAACGCAAGAAGCTGGAGATGAAGGCGGAAAAACGGGCCATGCGCGATGTTCGTCTGGGTTATTTTCTTTTTTTGTGAAAAATTCTGGTTCATTTTACATGTTAGGTGAAATTTGCGCAAAAGTACCATTTGAGTACTGGTGACGAGTAGTGAAAATGCGAAATGGCGCTTTTCGTCGTTCAGAAAATTAACGAAAGTTTGTACTTCTTAGGCCACTGAACGGATCAGAGCCTAAATTCAGAGCGAAAAGATATCGTAACATTAAAATGAATTGATTAATTTTATAATTACGATGTGACATTTCGTCGGGATGTTCAATCTTATTCCACCCTTATTTTTTTTTTACTCCCCAGGCGGAGTTTGCGGAACGAGAAGAACGGAAAGAGCGCGAAGAGAAAAAGCGTATCGAGCAGGAGAAGAAGGCGAAGAAGGAACGAGAGGTTGAGAAGCAGAAAGAAGAGGAAGAACGATTGCGAAAGGAGGAAGAAGCCCGTCGAGAGCAAGAAGAGTACGAACGCATGAAAGCAGATTTTGAATTGGAGGAAGAAGGCTTTGATGAATCGGATAAACAAGGGGATTCCGAAGGGCTTCTCCAACGATTTGTGAATCACATCAAGGTTTATTTATTTTGTCGTCCTCTTGAAAATGTATTTTTATAATACTGTACTTTTTTTCTGTTTTGGATTTTTTCAGACGCAAAAAATTGTACAACTTGAAGATCTGGCGGCAGAATTCAAATTGAAGATTCAAGACGTGATTGACAGGATTTCTGAGCTACAAAAAGAAGAAGTGCTGACCGGTAAGTAGTCAATTAAATGATATTTTTTTCATTTCTGAAACTGTTTTTATTATTTATTTTCTTAGGCGTGATTGATGACCGAGGGAAGTTTATTTATATCACGGAAGATGAACTAAAAGCAGTGGCAACTTTCATCAGGCAACGAGGACGCGTCAGCATTGCGGAATTGGCAGAAAACAGCAGCAAATTGATTGGCTTTGCTCAGGAAACCGCCGCCTCCTGAGAACACCGCAAACAAATTCGCATCGACATTGCAAAATAAACGTGTTGTCTTTCTTTGTCCGTTCCAATTAATGTCGATCGAAGTGTGCTTCGGGATTTTTCCTTCTGATGATAACCTCCGTCTCTCTGTGCGTTTCCAGATTTAAACCTCGAGGGCATCGTTTTATTTATTGTGTCGCTAATCGTGCTAAAAATTTGAAAAAATGGAAGCAAAGGCGAGTTGGTTTCGCACTGGAGTAAATTTCGCCAATTATAATGCGCCGTTTTTCGTTGTTGATGTTGCAGGTTCTGACTTCTGGATTCTTCGACACATCTGCCCTGTCCAGATACGTAGCACCAGTGAATCCAGCCATTTTCCCTCATCTCACCGTCGTGTTGCTTGCGATCGGGCTCTTCTTCACTGCCTGGTTCTTCGTGTATGAAGTCACGTCGACCAAATATACCAAAGACTTGAAGAAGGAGCTGTTGGTGTCTCTGGTTGCAGCAGGGTTCATGGGTTTCGGTTCCTTGTTCCTCATGCTTTGGGTGGGAATTTATGTATGAGGAAAGAAAAAATATATGTGTGTGTTGCTTGCATTCCGTTGTTTGTTGGGAGCAGATTGGAAGAATAATTGACGTTATGTTTGCGATTTTCGTGGCGGAAATGCACCGTATTATTATTGTGTGAATCGGAAGGTTCCTTTATTTTGTGTTGCATTTGGAGAAAGATGAATTTTTTTTAATGAGGGATGCGGTGTTCGCAGGATGATTAGGTCAGCGTTTCAAGTTGGCTCCAGACTTCATGCCTGTCAAATTAGAACAGCGATTCAGTGCGCGAAGCTGCATCAGGTCTGTTTCCGTGTCATTATGCATTGTTGAATGAAATTGTAAGAATTTGTGTTGATTGCGTGAAGCAGACCAATGAACCTGACAAGTTGTACAGCATGGTTGAGCTGGAAATGAAGGGACACGATCCAGCAGTGCTGAAGAGCTACGAAGACTTCACCCTGATGGCTGCGGAAAACCTGGGAATCACTATGAAAGACAAGTTGGCATCATTCATCCAAGTTTATAAATGCAGTATTTTTGTTGTTGAAAAGGAATTGTTGCTTGGAATTCATATTGTTATTGTGAGTAGTTTTTGTTGCTCTAGAAAATTAATACTTTTTCTCAAATTTGAAAAGTAAAAAGGAGGTGTTGTGTTGAACAAAGTTTTTAAAAAGTTCTAGAAGTTCAGGTGTGCTTCATGCTTGAATCTAATGGGAAATTTTGGACCAAATTTAACAGAAAAACTCAATTTTGATGGGAAAATTTGTTGAATTCATTTCTGAGTTCAAATTTTTTTTCTTCTTATTTTTGGAATATTGTTTTAGAGTCGCTAGAAATCGGGTGCCTGTTGTACTTTGGATTACAATTTATCAAAATTCCCAACTGAAAAACTCTGGCGTGTGTATTACTTGAGTAAATATTGTAATACAGTACAGTACTTGATTCCAATGGCAAATTTTGGACTAAAATTATCAGAAAAACTTAATTTTAATGGGAAAGATTGAAAATTTTAAAAAATTTAGCTCATAATTCAAATTTTGTGTTTTTATTTTTGGAATGTAATGGTTTTAGAGTCACCATAAAAATGTGCTGTACAGTGCTTGGTGATGCAATTTTGTCAAATTTTTCAGCTTGAGAAAATGTGGTGCGTGTCTGTAGTGAGTGAATATTGTGATATTTTATGGTATTTTTAGATGGGTGCCAGACAAAAGGCGAATACTCTTGTCTTTACTCAAGTCAGTTCACATCTACAAGAAGCACCAGGTGCAGTACGAATTCCGGACTCATTTCCGGGTCGTTCGCTTTGAGAAACTCACGGGTTCAACTGCGGACACGTTTCTGGAGTACATTGAAAGGAATTTACCGGAAGGAGTTTTAATGCAAGTCACAACGGTGAGTATTCCTTTCCGGCATTCATTTTTTTGTGTGGGTGACATGAAGTGAAAATTTTTTGTCACTTTTCCAACAGCGAGAACTGGAGCAATTACCTGAAGGAGTCGAGCGTTCGTCGTCGTGATGATGTGTTGAATTTTTTGTAGTTACTCGCATTTTTTGTTGTTGGTGTTGCTGAAACTGTGCAATGAACGATTTCCTCCAGGCATTCCAAAGTGTTTTGTGCTTTTGAAGCTGTGAGGAACCGGTTTTTTGGGTTGTTTTCGCTGGTACTTCTTTTTTGCTGTTTCAGGAAATGGCTTTTGTCATGAATTGGCGCAGTTGGTTGAAAGTGCTGAATGGTCGGAGGTATGTGCATGCTTACCGGAGTCTGCCTGCAGAACCGCTCAAGGAACGATCTCATCTTTTATCTAAATTGACTGGTGAGTTATTCTTCGTACGGTTGTGTTTGCGCAATTGCTCATTCATGAATTATGTCAGTCTTGTTTTGATGAATGTATATGACCATTTCCTGACGACTGTTCGAATATTTTGCTCACATGGTAATCCTTACTAATAAAGTTACTTGCGTCAGTGGGTCCTTGCGTCGGCTCAATATCTATCCCTCAGTGTTCCCCCTCTATTCCTGTCTCCCTCCCCCTAAGCCCCGCCCACAGGGGAAGCAGATGCTGCTGTCCTGCTATGCCATGAACGAAAATTTTCGAAAAAGTTCTACATTTTCTACTTTAACTCGGCCAATTTTCAATATTTTTCTAACTTAAAAAATACTAAAATTCGTAAAACTTTAGCGCGCATTCAAATCTGTTTTCAAATTTGAAATTGATTTGTTAGATAAAAAGTTATGATGAGCTAAAGTGGAAACTCGGACATTTTTCGTTTCCAGACTTTCTTGATTGCAAAATTTTTCAAAAATTTAATTCTTTATACAACTTTAAATTTGAAACGGCGTTGAATGTGCAATGAAGTTTTGCATATTTTGCTTTTTTTAACGTTTCAAAATGTTGAAAATTGATGCAGATACATGCAAAAACGCAAAACGTTTCTGCAAAAATTGTACAAGAATTTTCAAAAACGACTTTGCGTTTTTCATTTTAACACAGTCAATTATTAATATTTTCAAAACTTTGAAAATGCAAGGAATCATAAAACTTCAGCGCGCATTCAAATCCGTTTTCAAAATTGAAATTGGTTCATCAGACGAAAAGTTATGATGAGGTAAAATGGAAACTCAGACATTTTTGATTTCTGGACTTTTGTGATTGCAAAATTTGTCAAAAATTCAATTTTCTACAAATCTCCAAATTTCTTCAAATTTTGAATGCACACTGAAGTTTTTAACATTTTCGTTTTTTAAACATGTAAAAACACTGGAAATTGACAGAGATATGATGAAAAAAACGCAAAATGTTTTTTTAATCGTACAAAAAACGGGAAAAAAAGATTCCACTCTTTGAATTTTATCTATTTCAATCAAAAACATGTTTCAACTTTAAAAATATGTAAATTTGTAAAGCATCTGTGCGCATAAACCCAAAAATTAATTCCAGAATTGAAGAAAAATTGAAATAGTCATGAGTTAAACTGAAAAATGTGAAATCCCGTTTCTGTATTTCTTTCTGTTATGTCAATTTCCAAAAATTTAATTATGTATTGATTCCCAAATTTTTTCAATTGTTGCATGCGCAGTGAAGTTTTGAACAATAATTTTTTTTAGTTTGGAAAAGCACTAAAATTGGGTGAAAACTCCACCTTCCTGTTTATCTTTTTCTTCCAGTTTTTCTATATTTAACAATTTTCAAATAAGTGAACTCTGCATAGAACTCCCATTTCTTGACATTATTGAGAGAAAATTACAATTCTCAAATTTTCTTGCATGTAAAATTTTCATAAATTTGAAGAAGTGAAAGAATTTTCATCAAAAATGTAAAAACATTTTGAAATTGCTTATTTGGCAATCACTGGCTTTTCAAATGTAAAAACTTGAAAAAAATTTTCTACTGCACCAAACTTCAAATTTTAGCAGTTTAATATGCACAGTATTGCTCTTATAAAAATTAGAAATGAACTAACCTGAAAATTGTTGAAATTTTGGAAAATGTTCTTTTAGTTTTTCATTCAACAATCATTCTTTATGAATATTAAAAAGAAACAGAGTGCACACTGCTTCGAAAATGAATGAAATAGCAGTTTTTAAAATATTTTTAAAATTGACTACAACTGAAAAAGACAGAAATCTTGAAATGTTTACATCTAATTTTTTATTTTTAAATTCACCAAATATGAATATTTTCATGCAATCTAAATAGAAGAATGGAACAAATTTCAAGGCACACTAAGCCTGCAAAAGGGCAGCAATTGCAGTAATGCAAATAATTTTATACATGAGTTGAACAAAAAACTAAGAACATTTAAATTTTGTTTTCTATTTTTCAATTGATTAACTGGGAGTATTTTTCTGCAAAAAAATTCTGAAATCAGCAAAATTTTATTGTGCACTAACCCTGCAAAAATCAGAGCAATCAAGGGTTCCAAAATAATTTTAAAATTGAGTTGAACTGAGAAACAAGAACCATTTTTGCTGCAGGTTTTGTATTCACCAATTATGATTCTGCAAGAGAAAGAAAACATTTGTCAAACTTTAAGGTGAAATTCACCCCCAGATTCCCTGTTTACTATAGTACAACATGTCCTCAAGTATGGAACACACCCCACACAATGAAATGACTGCTGGGCTATGTTTCTGTGAATTTTTCCCTGAAATTCATGGAGTACCATGTGCAAATTTTATTTCTGCCTCAAATAATAGAAAAAAAAGGTGTGGTGGTACTCAAGTAAATACTGTAGTATCCAAATTGAGTTGTTTCCAATTGTGTCAGATTTTTTTCTTACATTTAAAATTGTATTTAATACAGTATTTTCAATTTGCCAAATTTCACCTCTCTACATAAGCAGATACCCACTGAAATTTGATAAAATTTTGATTTTAAAAACCTGAAAAATATTCAAAAGTTATGGAGACAAATTCAAAAATGTTGCAGCATAAGTCAATAGAAAATCACATAAAAACAATTTACATCAGGGGACCTGCCCCATCCAGCCAACATTCAACAGGGATTTTTCAGCCAAAATACAGTACAGGGCTCCAGCAGTGAAGTTATAAGTTTTATGTTGGTTTTCAAATCAAAGACAAATGGATGAACTCCAAATTTCTTCAAGCCAATCCAGGATTGGCTTGAGTTGTGGAGTCAGGTGGCTGGGGAGGGGGCCTCAACCCAGACACCCAAAAGATCCCAGAGCCAAAGTGTAGGAGATTTGGAAAGTTATGAATTTAGATTGAGCACTATGGACTGTAGAAATATCATGTTAAGAATGAAGTGATCTTTCATTGTTTTTTAGGTTCTCTGAGTATTGTAAGCCCATGGGGAAGGAGTGGATCGACCTTTGGCCACATGATGGTTCACAATGCAAAAGTTCACCTGTCTGTGGAAGGGTTTGCAATACATTATACAGTCCTCTCTTCATTTTGAGCATCACATCCCCAAAGAATGATTAGATCAAATGATTGAATTTTTAAAATTTCTGTAACTTTCTAAACATGATGCCCAGGTGTGGCTGGGCACCCCCAGCTTGTCACAATAATAATACAAATAACCACATCAATCGCTGACCTACGTTCTCCATACACGCAATATCGCATACCTAATGGTCACAATTTCATTGCTTCTATACGGAATAAAATAAATTCTACCTTTTTTCCGTTGTCATCACTTTAATTTCAAATGTCTACGTTTGAATAACCCTCTTCATCGAGTCTATAAACAGCAGTCCCTGGAATGATGAGATCCACGAACGCCCCCGGTACAAAGCCGAGCCGAAATGACAAACGAGTCAGCTAGGCATTAGCATACCGGACTCCAGAAATATACCGTGCATCAAGAGCTGCCTTTCAAACTACCTTAATTATACCGCATCCCACCCGAAATTCATCAATACGCAGCATTGGTTCTGCTGGTGATTGCCAAATGCAATTACAGTGATGCCTGGAAGAAGTTATATTATTCCGCCTTCGTATACACCATACACTTTCCAAACATGTCTTGGTCATATTTCCCCGCGGATCTCACCCAGAAAAAAGCATAACGAAAATAGTGTCTGCTATTTTCATGAACAGTTGAACCTGAATAACTGAAACCTCCTTAATCACTTCAAAAACCTTCCCATGCCGAATTATTTTTGAATACCTGTCTGAAATCCCTTATATACAGTACAGTACAATTGTTTGAAATCCTCCCAAATTCAAATGCTTTCCACTCAAAATCTCCAAAACTAGAATTTTCTGGTGACGTTTTGGCTAGTATTTTATTGACCTAAATAGAGAAAAGTCATAAAATTGTAACTATAAATGTTTTTGAAGGAGATTGAAAGACTAATTGGGCAAATGAACCCATTCTTCCAATTTTAGCATCCTGTCAACTCCTTTAACAAGCAATTTACAGACCAAAATATCACCAGCAGTCATGATTTTCTGCAATAACTATTTTTTGATTGATTGATATATAACAGTTTCATTTGCTACTTTTCAGCATTGACAAGGTTAAACCCCCCCCCCCC